ATTGTTACTCTCCTAAAATCTTGTTTTGAGATTTTGTACCATTGTTTTTATTTTTTTTTTCTTTAAAATAAAAATAACTGATGTCAAAAAACAAAAATTAGATCAGTTAAAAAAAAAAACAAAACACTTAGGAGACTGAGGCAGGAGGATGATTGTCAGTTCTAGACCAGCCTGGGTTACAAAGTGAGCTCAAGGTCAGACTGAACTGCACACCAGACCCTATCTCAGAAAGACCAAAAAAAAGTTATATTTAAAAAAGAAAAGGTGATAGAGAAGCTTGGAAATGGGTTCTTGAGGGCCTTAGCTGTTAGACTAAGAAGGAGCTGTCTTCTAAGCAAAAGGATGCTGTAGTGATCCTGTACTGTGAGAAGCATCCTGGTCAGGTCTGTATCTCTCAGAGTGAAGACACCACACTGGCAGAGAGTCCCTCAGCTCCACTCACTGGACTCCATGCACTGCCATCATCTAGGCCAACAACTCTCATCCTTCCAGATTCAGTCCTCTTGGCCCTTGAGGAAAAGGGGCCAGGGAGACTTGGTACAATAGTTTTATTTGAGGGTTTGGGGCTGGTAGTAGTTGAAGCTCTGGTTTACACAAGATCAAGGATTCCTGTGAACATGAATACAGTTGCTTGGGAAGGATACATAAGGTGTGGGCTGTAGCCACAGCTTCCAACCTGGTTTCTCTTGAAACTTGGACTTGTACTCTCATACCATACTATACCCCTAACCCTGAGTGATCTTTCTGAACTTCAAATATAATCCTATCATTCCGATAGATAAAGCATAATTTTCTGTTTTACAGCTAACTCGGTGGGTGACAGTGAACACAGTAGGATTGGTTTGGTGTGAGGAGGAAGCTACGACCTGCTGAGGGCTACCAGTGATGTAGGCAGCACCATCGTATAAATGTCATATTCTACCCCGTAGACCCACATCACCAGGGAGGGAGGGAGAATCTAATCAATAATCACCCAAGACAAAGATCATAATGGCTTGCAGTGACCACAAGCTAATGAGAGGCACAGCTGGGATGAATGCAAGTTTGTAATCTTGCTAAACTCACACTGTTACCTGAAAAGCAACAGTAATTCATTTTAAAAGAAACTAGAGTGAGAAAATAGACAGGGTGGTCTTGGAGCGAGATGCTTTCTCTTCAACTTTTTCCCCACCCAGAACATTCATTCCTGTGGTCCAGACTCAACCCCTGCCTTGACCTTCCAGATCCAGCGTTCACCTTGACTACCACCACAAGATTTTTATCGAACTTATAGTCACTGCTTCCCCAAATATATTTTCTGTTCCAGTACCTAGCCAGACTCCTCTGACATCCAGTTATGCATATATTAGAACTCTTGACATTATCGCCACCAATGAGGATCTGTTTATTTTTCAAAAATAATTTTCTCCATGTACTCCAGCTTTGATAATGTCTATTGCCCTGTATTCCAATTCATTATCTCATCTTCTGCCAAGTCCGTTCTCCTTTTAAGTCCATTCACACTTTTCAGAGCCTGGTTTACAACTTTAGCATTTTTACTTCATCAGTAATGCCCCACCTCTTCTCCTCTTTCACCAGTCTTCTCCCATAAGCCCTTTAATATATTTACAGCGTGTTTCAAGTCCCTCCCTGCTAGCTTCAACATCTGACTTGTCTCTGGGTCTATTTTTTATTCTTTTTTTTTTCTTTAGCCATCAATTACATTTGCTTGTTTCTTCATACAACTGATCATTTTCAATGTATAATAAATACTGTGGTTAATATAACATGAAGACTGGATTTTGCACTTTCTTCTGAAGAATGTTGGGTTTTGACCTAATAATCAACTTAAATACTGGTGGGTCAGCTCAATCCTGAGGAAATGGGGATTCAAATTTCCTAATAGTGGTTTGTTTCAGTTTTTCCTCAGCCCTACGGTGTAGCCCTTTATCCTGGGTTACTCCTAACACACGGCCCTCCTAGAGTTTTGAGGAAAAGCCTAAAGTCTTTACCCAACTCTGTGATGCCAGCACTTGAACTGCAGCTCCCACCTGGAGCAAGGTAGCTGTGGCAGCTCAGCCTCCTAGCAGCAGTTTCTGCTGCTCTCTTTCCTTCCTCACAGTGTCCACACAGGTGGCGAGGCAGCCATGGCTTTGAGGGGACTTTGTACAAGGACTCTGGGCTCTCCCTGGGTTACCTCTTCACTTCTAGAATGCTTTCCTATGATTTCTAGCCACTCTAGCAGCCCCTGCACTGAACCTAGTAAGATAAGTAGTTTCAGGGGAAAGGTCTAAGTTTTTTCTTTTTTTCTCTTCTTTTTCCTCCCCCCTCTCTCTGGGGTGTGTGTGTGTGTGTGTGTGTGTGTGTGTGTGTGTGTGTACTGGGGACTGAATCCAGAGCCATCACACTGAGCTGCATTCCCACCACATTTTTTTTTTTTAAATTTTAAGACAATGTCTTGCTAAGTCACTAAATTACCTGAGCTGGGCTTGAACTTGTGGTACTCTCAGCCTCCCAGAGCCCTGTAACTGCAAGCATTTGCACTCCTTTTGTAAACAGCTGTGAACTGGGAAGTGGCCTTAATGAATAAAGGTGTCAATGTGGTCCTAGCCAAGTTTTCCTCCTTTCCTATAGGGTCACGGTCCCCCAGGCTCTCCCCTGAGAGCAACACCTGGCTGCTCTCTAGGTCTCTCACACAACTGGAAGAAAGGTAAATATCTTATTTAGAGGTAAAATTACTCTCATCTGAAGATGAAGAAGCTTATTCAAGTATAGAACATGGCCACACATAGGATTAAAACCCAAATTTAGCTGATCACAGATATCCAACATCCCTTCCCATTTATGGCTATGGAAGTGTTAAAAGATAAATGATTTACTTCACTGGTAAATTTTCGCCTCATTGTAAGCACAGATTTCCCTCTTTAAACCACATCACAGCATGCCGTGGGCCTGGACTCTGCTCCACACATGAAGACATCCAGCACATGGGAGCTGCGCTGCCGTTCCCTGCGCTGCCGTTCCCTGCAAGGTGAGACCACCTTGTTCATATGAGATGCAGGGCATAAGCAGCATGATAAGCGCTATGGACTCCATGAGTGGCTTCATGCAGCCCACGGTGCTTATCACGCTACACATCAGCTATACAGGCCTCCTGCTCAGCCTTCTCCTGCCCCAAGGCCTCTGCATTCTGTTTAAAAATGCAAATAACATGTATTTCTAAGCAAAGCACTAATAATGCCTAAATATTTTCTATAAAGGATTGTTCTATTTCTAGATAATGCATTGTTTTTACTTATTTTTAAACTAGAAATAAAAACTACATATTTATGATGTATGATGTGTCTTAATGGCTACACTGTGGAATAATTAAGTCAAGCTAATTAACATATCCATCACCTCACATACTTACCATTTTGGTGTGATAAGAACACTTAAAATCAGCCCTTGTGCAATTTTCAGGTATGCAGTATTTTAAATATAGTCTCCATGATAACAGATCTTCTGAAATTACTCTCCTGGTCAGACTGAAATTCTGTAGTCCTTGAACAATGCTCTGACTCTCCCTTTACACCCTTGCCCCAACCACTGATAGTTACCACCGCCCTACCTTCTGCTTCTGTGAGCTGACCCCTTATAAACTCTACATATAAGTGAGGTTGTGCATTATTTGTCTCTCTGCCTGGCTTATGTAAACAAGTAGAACGTTCTTCATGTGGGCACAGAAGACAGGATGCCTCCTTTTTCAAAGCCTCATGGCACTTCCTGTGTACGTGTGCCGCGTTCTCCTCATCCTTCACCCACAGATGGGCACTAGGTGGAGGACACCATACCTTGGCTGGTGCGCACACGAAGGTGCAGAGGGCCCTCTGGAGCAGCAAGTTCACTTCCTGTAGGCATTATTCACAAGAAACTGCTAGATGAAATGACATCCCTGTTTTTAATTTTCTGAGCTGCCTCCATACTGTTTTCCATGATGGCTTTTTGCTAATTTACATGCCCAACAATCTTGGGAACCCTCCCCAACAACTGTCTTCTTTTGACTTTTTAGTAATAGCCAAGAGAATTGGCTATTTAATTAAAGGCACTGTGTGTTCAAGACAAAAGCACTGGACTAGGAGGGAACAGCCCCCCAAATGCCATTCTCTGCTGCTTCCCTGCCATCCTCAACATTCTACCTTTGAGTGATGCTTTTTTAAAATGTGTAATATTATGTCACTCCTCTGCCAAACTCTTCTTCAGATTTCTATAGCAAAGGCCAAAGGCCCCGCAATTATCTATGGTCTTGATCTGACTGCTTCTTAATCTCTGACCTCAGCCGCTCCTCCTCCTCTGCCTATTATATGCCAGCTATACAGGCCTCCTGCTCAGCCTTCTCCTGCCCCAGGGCCTTTGCACTTACATTCCTCCTGCATGTACACTCCCCACAAACTCTGTGACAGCCTCTGACCTTTAGAGATCTTTGTATAAAAGTCACCATTTCATTAGTGCCTTCCCTGACTATCCTATTTTGAATCAAAATCTTAAATCCAGCCTGGCATTTTCTATTTTCTTTCTATGCTTTTCATCCATCAACAGTTAGCACAATTTCACATTCCATGTGCTTTATTTTTTAAAAATAATTTTATTGAGAAACAAATAGCAATGAGACAGTTTCAAAACCAATTACTAGCACAGTTTCAATAATTAATACATTGTATATTGTTGTCTTAGTGGTTATTCATTGTACAAGATGCAGACATGATATCTTTTTTTTTTAATGAAACCAGGGATTGAACTCGGGCCCTTGTGTTTGCCAGGGAAGCATTTACTCCACTGAGCCATCTCCCTGGCCCCTATGATATCTTAATTGTGTCCACAAACACTATTATAATAAATCTCTCTATTCACTGAATTAAGAGAATGCAGCTGTATATTTATCCTATTCTGAATATACACATACAAAATGGTCTTTCATTTGTATCCCCCTTTTTTGTTTAGTTTTGTCCAAGAATGATGTTACATTGTCATTTAAATAGGTATGTGAATCAGCAAAATATTCTAATATAGTCCAGTAGTCCATAATAGTAGTGGGTTTTCTGTAAGACTGGCAATGTTATAAGTTGTTGACTTGAGCATTTTACAGCTTAGCATATTAATATGGATTTATTTTTTATACTTTGTTTTTATACTTTTCTGCTGGATGGTTAAGACCAACATAAAGCAAGACCTATATAACAAGAAATGTAGCTTTTGTATCTGATAAGGTCAGTCAAATCCCCTCAGGATTTACCCTGAAACCCTGTACCACAGTTTGTAGATCCTTTGTCAGTGTCAGCCATGTGGATGAGTCACAGCCATTGCTTGACCAATTTGCTCTCTGTGAAAGCCTGAGAGAATGTTTTCTCTCCATGTGACTCTCCTTAGGCACACTAAATCATCGATCACTTTCCTCTGTGGACCCATAATCTCCTTGATCAGAAAATTTGGGACACAACTGAGTTACATGATGTTATAGTACAGGTTCTCCTGTGTCCTGAGTTTGCAGACCAAACATTAGAGAATAAGAAAGGCTGCAAGGACAGCCAACATTTTGGCCCTAGCCTTTCAAGGTCAGTGAAGAGTCAGGACATAGGAGAGCCATGTGCTTTACACACTTATCTCACTTCTGGTTCCACCCTACTACAGTGTAAGCTCCTTGAGGTGTGAGACTATTTTTCTGGTTGTCATCTGCTTAAATAAACAAACTGATGAATAAGCAAATAAATAATCTAAATATTCAGCCTTGTTCTTTTCACCAGCTAGTAGCCTGGCTATAGAAAAATCATTTAACCTCTCCGAACCTCACTTTTCTCACATCAGAGTTAATTGCAAAGAACAAATGAAATCACACACATATAAAAGCTAACTGCTGCACGAACAAAATGTTTTATAATGTGGTCACTGACAAGCAGACACATGAGTGGAAAAGTCAGTTGGAGGTGGTGATGTTGGTTTATACCTCTGTCATCACAAAGTAGATTACAAATGTCCTACACGAGAGAAGAAATAAGAACACAAATTTAATAGAGTTATTAAAGCATTCAGAGCCATTGAAAAGCTATTGTCATTCAGCTGGTGCCACTGCCCAGTTGTTTACCATGTGTCACTGCAGTCCTGGGTGCTGGCACCAAGATTAAAGCACAGGTCACCCACTTGAGAACCCAACCCTTGCCTTTTGCATGTGGGAAAGCAAGGCTGAATGTGGATCCACACTGCTGGCCTGCTCCAGCTTGTGGTCACTGCACTACATATCTGCTGCACAGCTGCAACACGAAGCCAGTCTTCAGGTCCACAGCCTGAGCAAGGTCTGCACCCTTCAGCCAACAGCTCACCTGCCCCACGCCTCTAGTCTCAGCATATTCCTGCAGTCTGCTAGGTGTCCCTCAATGTCCCTTACAAGGTGAATACAAAGCCTCCCATTCTGCCTGGTATCTTGTTTTCAGTGCCACCTCAACCAAGGTGATAGGCCAAGGAAAGGGAGCTCTGGCAAGAAGAATGGTAAGAAGTGCCTACCAAGTATTAATAAGTGAATGTGAGATGAGAGATCAAAGCAGACGCCTCTCCAACCCCAAAACATCTTTAGCCATGCTGATAAGTGACAAATGATGGACAAGAAGAAATGTAAGAAAGCTCATCATACACAAAAACAGAATGTCAAGGCATCTTATAGGGGTCAAAAAAAAAAAGAAAAGAAAAGATGGGCTGGGGAGATAGCTCAGTGGTCTAAGCACCTGCCTGGTAAGCTTAAGGACCCATGTTTGATTCCCAGTACTGCATGCTGTGCCACTGTGCCAGCCACTGAGACTGAGAGTGGTGGTGTACAGCTATAATCCCAGTGCTGGGGAGGCTGAGACAAGAGGATCACTACAAATTTAAGCTGTGTAGTGAGGCCCTGTACCAAATAAATAAATGAAAAAAAATTTTAGAAAGACATTTCTTTAGCCACAAATGGAACAACCCCAATGCCTGAGGAGGGTTGGCTCCACAGGCCACACCTGCATATGATTCCACGCTTGCAAATGTATTTTTTTAATTCATCCATGATAAGGTCTGCAGTGGGATGTCATTAATTCTTCCCATTCTGTCCTGAGAGTCTGAAATCCTGAAAGGACAAGTGATGGAATCTACTCCAACAGGACATCCACCAGCAAGTACCACTGCTCCTGCCAGTGGCAGGGGCCTCAGCACAGAGCATGGTCAAGGTCCACTACCACCCCTGGTCTAGGTCCTGAGATGCTGATGTGACCCAGGATGATAAACACTTAGCATCTGTATAATGACTTCTAGCACTTTTGGGTGTGCTGACATCCCTGAACAAGAATACAGGAAAAGACCACGGGTCCTGTCAGTGTTCTTCACGTCACTTAGGCCTCAGCTGTGGCCTGCTTCTAGCTCAGATTAAAACTACTGCTTCAACTGAATCCCACTCCCCAGGGCTTCACTGACATCTCCATTTCCTCCTGAAAAAGTGAGACAGCCACTGTTTTATTTTGGCTGAGAAAAATAACTCTGAGCCTGGCATGATAGTGCATATATGTAATCTTTCCAGTATGAGAAGCTAAGGCAGGAAGACTGTAGGTTTGAACACAGCCCGAGGAATATACTAACTTAGGCACTATCCCAAAATAAAAAGTAGGGCCCGGGGAGATAGCTCAGTAGAATAAGTGCTTGACTGGCAAGCGGAGGGTCCTGAGTTCAATCCCTGGTACCACAAAAAAATAGAAATAAAGATAAAAATAGGAAAAGCCTGGGGTTGTAGCTCAGTGTGAAAGGCCTAGCTTAAATCCCCAGTGCCATAAGAAGATGAAAGAAAGAAAGAAAGAAAGAAAGAAAGAAAGAAAGAAAGAAAGAAAGCTTCTACTGAATTATTTTATTTTTACTACCTAATTTATACACAGTGTCATTCCACATGAAAAACTGAGGACAACTTGTAAACATACATGCATACATACATCTATGTATGAGATTAAAAAATAAGTGGGTCAGTAAAGAATTCCCACTCGCGGAATTTGGCAGGGATAACTGTGGGAAGCTTTACCAACACCATCTGTGAAACTGAACTATGGAAAATGCACTCTGATATGTGTGTCTCCCGTGCCCTCAGACTCTTTAGCCATATGAAGTCAAAGAATGCAAAAGCGCGCCCAGGGAAAGGCCAGCTGCGGGTCTGCACTGTGGGCAGCATTCACCAGGCGGCTTTGGAATTTCCCGGCCGCTTGCCCTTTTCACCAGTTCAGTATCTTAAAAGCATTCGTCATCTAGGAAAACCTCCAGCCTAGAGGCTGTCTTGGGAGTTGGTTCTAATCCTGGGCCATGGAGAGTCAGAAGGACTCATGTCCTCTGGTCACAAGATCTGGGGCAGAAACAGAGCACCCACACTCTGCCACCTGAGCCATGCTACTTCTGTATTCACACTAGTCAGCTGGGGTGATCTGTGTGTTGTAGTGTGCACAACTGTCTGAACAAATGGCATGTCAAGGGAAACTGTCACCTAAGCTAATGAGAGTGGCTCCCACAATTTGTGAAATGACTGAATGGAAGCAGCTCTCTATATATTCCGTTTCCTCATACTATGCATGTCACCCATGCTCAGACCCACAGAGCAACAGAGCAGACTCAGTGACACGAAGCATTTATCCTGCTTTAGTGGTCAGACTTGTCTCTGATGACCACATCAGTCATAAAGGAAAGTTTCTTTTTTGTAGCAGATTCATAAATAAAGGGAAATGCTAGTACTAGAATACAGTCGCACTCAGTATGCATGGGAAATTGGTCCTAGCCCCCTTCCAGCCCCGAAGACACCAAAGCCTGAAATTGCTCGGGTGCCTGATGTAAAATGGTGTGGTATTTGCTCGTGGCCTATGCTCCCCTCCCATGTA